GTGTTCACAAGTTGCTGTGGGGGGCCTGGGGTTTACATTAGAGCTCCCATAGGGCCACCTTCTTTAAAAAAAATACAAATATTGCCATTAAAAATAAACATTTCTGCTTAAAAAATAAACATCGCTGCTTAAAAATAAACATCACAGCTTTAAAAATAAATATTGCCATTCAGGATTTTGGCATTTAGTTACACTTTTGGTTAGTTGTGTGGTTCCACCTGCTTCATTCAGGAAACCAAACCCCAGGGTTGTCTGAAGCAGAAAACAAAGCATCTGTCACCAAAGAGTGTTTCTTGTTATTATTTGAAACATGATACTTCTTTCTCTCTCTATATATATATATGTATGTATTTTTAAACCACTTGATGTCAGAATGGGCTTTTCTGTCCTAGTTTCAGTCTGTCCATGCTGCTTCTGGTGTAGAAATGCCGAGCAGAGGGGCAGGGGGAAGGGTGCAGCTGAGGAGCAGCTGCATGTGGAGCTGATCCTGCTGCTGCTGCCACCCCTGTGGGATCCCAGCACGGGCTGGGACTGAGCCCCTTTTCCTGGCAGAAGTTGCTGAAAAACGTAATGACACGAAGTGAAGCTGATGCTGATTTGGAGGTGAGGCATGAAGAGCCTGCAAGGAGAGAAGCTGTGACCAGGCTTTTAGTGCTTTGCAGGCTCGTGGGTGTGCTGGTTGGTGCTGTAGCCTGTGCCTCTTCTCACGGGTTTCTTAATCCCTCTGCCTACTAGGCAGAGCCTGGTTAATCCATGAACACTGTGTTGACCCTCGTACAGGGATCTGCATTCGTTCTCTGACTGTGTTTCTCCACCTTGCAAGAAAGGCCCAAACCCCAGCTCACCTGCTGGGATGTGGTTTGTGGCCAGCTCCTGCAGCCCGTGTGCCCCCAGCCCCAGGCTCCTGCTGCATGGCCAGGGCCTGGGGAGCCAGCTGGGGGTTTGAAATGCCACTTTTGGCTCCCTGGGCAGTGCTGGTGTGGCTCAGGCAGGGCCCAGTGGGCTGTCCTGCTGCCCAGGAGCATCCTTGGCCCCAGCAGAGCGTGGCCGGAGGGCTGGTGCTGGCAGCAGGGCTGGAGCCCTGTGTTTGGAGGGGGCTTTTCAGTCCTGGTGGCACCCATCTGAGCGTGGCCATCTGTGCTCCAAGGGCACGGCTGCCTGTCCTCTGCATGCCAGGGAAGGGGCAGCTGTCACACCAGAGCCAAAGATCAATGTTCCCCCGGGGTGGCTGGTGCTCCCGTGGCCCCTGCCCTCGGATGCCGTTGCTGTGCCCGTTGCCTTGACAGGCTCTGCAGCTGTGGAAATGTTTGAAGGGCTTCAGATTGGAAATTAAGTAAATTCCGCCCTGCCCTTTTGATGAATCCCTTTGTTTCCCACAAAATTCTAGATTCAAAATACAAATTAGCCCCTTGTCTCTCTGCCTCAGGGCTCAGCTGATCTTCAAAGGGCATGTTCAAAGGCTCCAAGTAAAGCCCTGGTCCTGCCCATCACAGGGTACCATTAGTGGCCCAGAAGGGCATCACAAACTCCTCGTGATCATGTTGCCAATGACCGTGTGGGCTCCAGGAAAGCTTGACAGTGGTTACATGCAGCTGCAGGATGGGGTCTTGCCTGGTAGGAAGCAGGAGAGTTATGTCTCCGGGCTGTGAAATGGGGTACCTGCCCCTGGTGGGGGGCTGGGGAGGGAAGGAGTGTTGCAGAGCCCAGGGCAACTGGAAAGGGCAGGGCTGTGCTTCTGCCTGGCTCTGGCTGATCCCATCAGCTCTGCCAGGAACCTGCCTGCTCCTGCCCTGCAGGGCTGGCACCAGGTGTGGAAAACATTCTTCTGGAATTCTTGGCTTTTGTTTAAAACAAAAACAACAACAACAAAAAAACCCACGTTGTTGCATTACTGCTGCCCTCACTTATTGCAGCATTTCTACACTGGGTTGATTATGCTGAGCTTTGCAAGGCTGCTGCTTCTGCTGGAAATAATTCAGTTCTGAGTGTGACCTTGTTGCCTTTGCTAGCAGGTGAACCGTGTCAAGCTGTCCTTGAGCCAGCCTGGGAGAGCAGGAGCTGGCCAGGAGGGTTTGGGGTGAGACTCAAATCAGTCACAGGTAGATGGAGGAAGAAGTGCTGGTGGTGGGGAGGTTCCTCTCCAGGGCAGCTCAACACACCAAACAACAGAAGTGACCAGGGAAGTTGGCTGTATTCAGGAGGCTGTCCAGTTTGTAAACTGAGTGGATTAGAGGGGAAAAAAAAGAAGAAAGGAGAAACCTTTTTAAGATTTTCTTTCTTTTCTTAGTCTCACTGCTTCCCAGCAGTTGCCATTGTCTGTCCTAACACAGCAACAATAGCAAAAGCCTTTGGATGTTGAGTGGCAGCTGAGTGCACTGCAAGCACAGCAAATCTTTTTCTGCTTTGCTATCAGCAGCCTCTTGGACTTGAACCAGATTATTATCACTGCTCGCAGAAAGAAAAGGAAACTGAGCATTTCAAGGTCACCAACCAAAATATTTCACTGAAGTTTAACTTCATGGTTTAGCACCTGTAAGAGAGGATGAGCAGTTCGGAGTAAATGTATTCCTGTCCCGTAACAAACAGCACTGAAATGCCAAAAAAAGAGAGAAAAAGGAAGCCCTGTGCAAGTGCATTTGGGTTTCCTCCTGCCGAAGCATGACTGAGTTCTGAAAGCAGCCTTGCCTGGCTGGAGCCTATTTTAAAATGCAGCCTTGCTGAGCTCCAGCCTGTTTTAAAATCCCGAGCAGTGATGCTGCCTGTTGCCTGATAACCTCCTGCCAGCCTCGGGCATGCTCAGCCTAATCATAGCCATCGGCAGCCTTTATTTATTTCCCTTCCAAAATGTCATCCCAGGCTTCTGGTTTGTGTTTGTTTGCTTGTTTTTGTTTGTTCTTTCAAATGAGAAGACACAAAGTGCTGCCATCAAACTCAGTGGCTTTCTGTGGGAAAGGCTTGCTTGGCTGTCACCACCTTGCAGTCCTGGGAAGTGGCATTTTAAGCTCTGCAGGGTGGTGGTTTGGAGGGGCAGGGGGGAGAGGAGAAGTGGGGGCTGAGGGGTTGGGGCTGGGAGCCCGAGGAAGCCCCTTGAGGTCTCAGAGCCTTCCTGTGCCTTGTGACAGTCTCCTCTTCAAGAAGAAAAATAACCCTGTGCACTCTGAGCCCTTTCCCAGCACATGGTTGCCCGAGTTCCCTTTCCCAGCACGGCTGTACCATTCCATGCTGGATCCACAGCTTGGAGGTGGGCTGCCTGGATCAGCAGAGACCCCCTGGGTGCCAGGGCTGGCCCTGCAGAGGTGTCAGCCAGAGCTTTAGCACCTCTGCAGGGACAGATGAATGGAAAAAAGTTTAACTTGGAGGTTTCCTTGTCTTAGGGGCCCTTTTAAATTCACCTGAACTCTTGCCCACCTCAAAACCTTAATTGATGCCATCCCTCCCAGAGGAGAGCTTTAAAAGATTGCTGCTTCCTTCAGCTGGGGAGCGGGATGGAGCCAGTGGGATGGAGCAGGATGCATGGCAGGATCAGCCACCCCTTGGTTGGGTTTCTGTCTGGGTTGTCCCTTGGGCTACAATCATGTGAAAGTTGGTAAGAAATGCTAACCAGGAGAGCCCAAAGGTTTGCACGTGAGGGATGGGAGCTGCTTCACCAGTTGTTCTTGTGGCTTAAATGGTTTGTTTTACAAAGCTGAGGGTATTTGTTCTGCCAGAGGCAGAGCTAAAGGAGCCTGGGACTCGAGGTGCAGTTGGACAAAGGTTTGTGTTTTGTTAGCAGTCTTATTGCAGGCCCTGAGCAATACACAAGGCTTATCAGGTCCTTTATTTTCTTTTCCTCTCGAGTTAATTTGAAGTTTGGCAGCCAGCTTGGGCTTGGGCTCCTCTCAGGGTGGGCTCTGGGCTCACCCACGTAGTGCTGGGATGGTAAGTCCTGATTGTCGGGGACAGGCAGAAGAACCAGGGCCTGGCAAAGGGCTTTTTCCACCCCCATCTTCCACTGTGCACTGGTAATGAATTAAAACAGAGTCCTTTACCAAAGGAGCTGTGAGGGTGAGTGATTCATGCTCCAAAATCCTGTGTCCCTGCTTCTCTGTGGAAGGGGAAGTGTTGGAGAGGCTGCAGGGATGGATGGTGCTGCGGTCCCAGGCTTGGTTGTGCTCAGGGGTGGCAACATCTGTTGAAATATTTGTGCAAATCCAAACTGTCCTGTTTTTATATAGTAGAGAAATGACCCTTCTGTCAACTCCCTTCTGGACCTCACAGCTGACCCGGGCAGCCTTTCTGTGTAACACAGAGCACAGACCTCTTGTCTCCTCAGACATCCTTGTCTCGTTTTCTCAGCAAAGCTTCCTACAGGTGATCAGCTTCCAGGGGGAGGGAGGAGACAGAAGGAAGAACAAAGTGCATGTGGGGGAGGCAGGAACAGGAACAGCAGAGGAACAGTGGAAAACTGTGTGGTCACAGATGGTAAAGCAGGAGGGTTCCTCACCCTGCCTGTGACCAGCACCCCTGGACGCCCGAGCGAGCGGGAACACGCGACATGGGAAGGGCACAGGGAAACAAACCAAGTGCTTGGGAGGAAAATGCAGAATCTGTCAAGCTGAATTCAGTGCTGGAGGGTTTAAGAAAATAAAATAAAAACGACTGAGGAGAAATGACTGCTGAAACACACGGTGGTGGGTTTTCCTTTGCTAATCTCTCCCAGCTGCACGTAGTTGGAGCTCGTGCCAGTGTTTTCTTTTCTTTGCAGCCTGGCAGCTTGGTTCTCCCAGGTCCCCATTAAAATTAGTATTTTCCCCTCTCTTTTCTGTTGGTGGTGGCTGTTGCAGGGCTTGCGCTGTGCCCTGCTGAAACACAAGCTCTCATGGGCAGTGTTGGGGTCTGTGTCAGTGGCTCTGCCCGGGAGGGGGTGGTAATTTCATGAACTTGGTGGTTCCTCTTGTGTCTCTGACTTGCCACCTCAGCACAGTTCTGCTAATCTTGATTTCTTCTCCCTTGCAGAATGAAGAGAAGAGGAACCTTTCCCTGGGGGGCCATGTGGGCTTCGACAGTCTCCCTGACCAGCTGGTCAGCAAGTCTGTCACCCAAGGCTTCAGCTTCAACATCCTCTGCGTGGGTGAGCACCGTGCTCTGCAGACAGACCTGGGCTGGGCTGGGAGGCTGGGACCAGCATTTCTGGCTGTCCTGCTGCCCCATGGGCCCCAGCAGTGACTTCAAGCAGTTCAGAAATGCCTGACTCTCCTAAAAAAATGCATAATAATTTCAGTGAACTGGAGCCCCTTGGGATCATTGCCCAAAATTACAGAGAATTTTGGGAAAAGCTTTAACGGATCAACTTTCTGCCTCTGGGTGAGGTGTCGGGGGGAGGAAGGGGCTGTGGGACTGTTTGGCTCTGTGCTGAGCTACTGCTGCAGGAGCCCCGAGTGCCTGAGCCTTGTGGGTTGAACCAGAGGAGCTTCCACCATCATCTCCTCCCCTGCAGTAGCTTTGCAGTCGGAAGGATTGAGGGAAGACTGCGTGTGCCAAGTTAAATATTCCTTTTGCAAGCTGGGGTGGCTGGCACAGGCAGCTTCTCAGGGAATATGGTGTCCATGTAGGTGCAGGGAGATGCCCCATGGGTTAGCTGAGAGCTGCTGGTGGTAACTCAGGCCTTTCTGAGGGCCTGCCTGCACCCCAAAGCCAGGGCTCAGAGGTTTGGAGCTGAGCTGTGCCTGGCTGGTGCTTTCCCAGGCTGAGTCACAGGGTTTGAAGTGTGACCATCTCTGTGCTGGGCAAGGCCGAGGGAGTGCTCATGGTTTTATTGATGGTAAAGTGTTTATCTTGTGGGCTGTGAGAAGGCATGAGAGACTGACTTTAAAATAACTTCCTTATATTCTTGTTTTTTTTCACTTTGGTATTGACACGACGTAGCAGGCGAGGCTGGCAGTGCTAGAAACCAGTTCCTGCCAGTGATGAGAGGAGCATTATTGTAGTTTGGCTGCTTCTGGTGTGTATGAGGTCTGAAGTATCAGAGCCTGCTAGACCAGCAAAAACACACCCAGAGGCAGCAGCTCCCTGCCTGGTCCTCAGGCTGCCCAAAGGGAGCATGGCTGTGTGTGGGCTGCAGGGAGCCCCAGAGTGTGCCCAGGTGCTCCTGCTGTTCCTGAGCCACTTCTGCACGGCCAGACCACGAGTGAAGGGGCTGAAATTGGAGTTGAACCTCATAGACTTCTTCCTTAGCAAAAGGGTAATTGCAGCAGAGGGCAACATGCTTTTAATTAATGTTGTTCCTGAGGATGTCAGAATGGATACTCCTGCATTCTCATCTGCCCACACTGTGATGCAGCGGAAAAAAATGCCACAGTTGGTTTTGTTTGGTTTTTTTTTTTTTGAAAAAGAACCAAACCCAACAAACAACCCTGCACCCCTGTTTGCCAGTTCCTGCTCCCAGCTGTGCCCACAACTGAGCAGGAGACTGGGCTTGCATCTCTGATGGCTTTTCCATATGACTTTGCTTTCAGGTTAATCTAGAGCACCAGGCTGGCTTTAACTCTTGCACAACTCTGCCCCAGAGCTGTCAGGAAGCCCCATGTACCTCTGCCCTCACCGAGCACCACATGGTGTTTATGGTTGTGCTTGAAGAAGGAGAAGGCCCCAACCCCTTGGCAGCAGATGTGGCACCTCCCTCCAGCAGGAACTTGCTCACCTCCATTAGCACATCCACTGAAGGGCTCCTCAGGGGTGCCTGGGTTCAGCCAGGGGCTGCACCCTGTGGAAGGCTGGCTGTGCCCAAGGAGAGCACAATGCCTGGGAAAGGAGCAGGGACTATAAGGACCTTTCCTTGGATTTTTCCCTCTCCACTCCCTTGGCCAGTAGGGTTGTGTGTGGTCAATGAGGAGTTTGAACAGGTCCCCTTGTAAGCTACTCTGGAAAACAGCAGTCTTGTTCAGTCACCAGGAGCAGCAATTCGGAGCCTTTCTGGCTCACAGGCAGCCTGTGAGCCAAATATTCTGGGATGCAGCTTGGTTTGTGATGCATCCCAGGTGTCCTTCAAATGCTTTTGTAATGGGGGGGGGCTACAGATGGGAAATTTCTAATCTTGCCCCTACTGGTTCTCCAAGGACTCTTCTCTCCCTACTGCCAAGAACTATTCTCTCCCTACCAAGTGTCTCTGCCATCTCCTCTTGACCCTGTGTTCTTTCCCTCTGCGTGTCTCAGAGGCTCGATTTGGCAGAAGACTTTTTTAACTCCTGGAAGGTGCAGATGCCTCAGAAGGGCCCTGCTGCAGTGCCCCAGCACAGGGCTCTGCTGGGGGCTCTGGTAAAAATGCCCTGTGGAATGTGGCCTCTGAAGACGTGGTCATGCTTTGACCTCTGTGTCACAGATGTTGTGCAGCATTTATAGATACAGATAGGTAGTATTGGTTTTGCTGTGTTTTCCTCAAAGCAGTGTTCTTGTCCCCCCTTGGCTGATCTGGCAGGAGCTGTGGGGCAGCAGGGCAGCCCCGAGGAAGCAGCAATGCTAAAGGAAAGCTGCAGGAGTCAAGAGCAGGATGAGATGAAACCAGCTGCACTGCAAACACCCATCACCTGGGCTGGGTTGCAAGTTCTCCCTGTGCAGCTGGAGCTCCTCAGGGCAGAGCAGCACCTCCTGCCCTGCCTGGCAGCTGCTGCCTTGCTCCGTGGTTTGGGCGCCTGTGGAAGCTCAAGCCTGATGTGACGGGAGAGTTTGTTGCTTATTGTCTCCGTTCTGACAAGTTCTGTTTGCTGTGCAGGTTGGCCCTGTCATCTTAAAGCACTGACAGGCTGTCTGTGACATGTCTGTGCAGAAGGGGGCCATCCTGGAGAGTGTGTCCAGGTGTCCCGAGCGGGGTCCCGGCAGCACCGAGCCCAGGCTGCTGTGGGCTGGGGGGAAGGGGTCACAGCAGGAGGGGTTTAGTCCTTCCACAGTTATTAATGGGACATGTGGGACTGCAGGGCTGAGGCAGTGGAAGAGGGACAAGCTGCTTCAAGGTTTCCAGGCAGACCAAAGTTCAGCTGCACAGGGAAATCATGAAACTTCCATCCAGTGTCTTTTCTGCTGTGAAAAGGTTTCTCAGTCTGATGGCAAGTTGTCCCAGAAGGTTCAGAGCTGTCTCTGTGCTGAAACAGGGCTCCGGGTCCCCTCCTCACAGGGGTCTCCACTCCCAAAAAAGGCAGGTCCCTGGAGATTTCAGTGGCAAGATAAAGCCAAGGGTGGTAGAGCAGCCTGTAAGTCAGGAGTCTCGGAAAAGACAGAGAGGAATCCTGGTTGTGAGCTGTCCCCTCCACAGCACACCAAACTCCCCCTGCTCCATGCCATCTGCAGAGTCACCTGGAGCCCTTGCTGGTTTGGGACAGCCAGCAGCAGACCCAGATACTCCTTGTCAGTAGGAGCAGCTGAGTTTTATTCCTTCCCATCTGAAGACTCTTAAGGACTCTACTAAAACTTCACTTGCCCCAGCTTCTCTGGTGCAGGATCCCACCCAGGTCGGGGTTCATGGAGGGGAAGGCAGTATGTTTGACTGGGTTGCATGGTCCTTACTGGGGAGATGAGACCAAAGAGCTCCGTGTTGGCTTTGTGCTAAGCACGGGTGACCTTCAAGAATGCAGTTCCCTTTGTGACAATAACACGTCTGTCCACAGGCGATTGGCACTAACATTTCACAGGATAATTTAGTTCTGCTCTGTAATTACTGTTCTTTGAAGTACCTGTGACAAAATCCATGCTGCAGTGAGCTGGTGATTTCTCCCTCCTAGGTGAGACTGGCATTGGGAAGTCCACACTCATGAACACCCTGTTCAACACCACGTTTGAGACGGAGGAGGCCAGTCACTACGAGAGCGCGGTTCGCTTGCGGCCACGCACCTACGACCTGCAGGAGAGCAACGTCCACCTGAAGCTGACCATCGTGGATGCAGTTGGATTTGGGGATCAGATCAATAAGGATGAAAGGTGCCGTGCTCCTTGCTTGGTGTTCCTGGGCCTGCCTCTGATGCTTGGACCTGAGCTGCCTCAGTCCTGCTGCGGGGTCCCGGGGGAGGTGTCGGTCTTTCTGTCAACGGGGTAGATCCCTGTGTTGGCTCTGGTGCTGGGGACAAAGTGTAGAGGGAGTTGGGTGAGCAGCCAGAAAGAGAGGTCATAGGAGGTCTTTCCAGCAGAGAATGGTGTCCTCCAGGAGCATGAGCAGCTAACAGGCTGTCCTCAGTGCAGGGTTGGGAATCATCTGTTCTGGCAGTGATCAGTGTCTCTGGACCTGTCTCATTTAATTACACAAACATCTTGCTCAAGCCCCAGGTAAAGGCTTTCTGGGACTCCGAGGTCTCTCCTTGGTCATGTTGCATTGCTACAGCCAGATGGCTCAGCCCTGAGATCTGGGCAAAGTTTGATCTCTGAAAGTAGTCATCTTTCCATGCTCCAGTGTCCTCAGACTTCACAGTTGCAGCCTCAGGAGACTCCAGCAACCTTTGGATTATACGGTCTGTGTGTAAATGCCACGCTTGGCCTGTTGCAAGGTTGGATTGTTTGAGCCTTAGAACTACTTTTTAAATGATACCATGGTATGTGTAGGAGAACTCCTTCCAACCATTTAATCCGGAGCTCCAGTATCTGGGTTGCTAATTGTATGGTTTTAGTTACAGGCCCATCGTTGAGTACATTGATACGCAGTTTGAAAACTATTTGCAAGAAGAGCTGAAGATCCGACGGTCGCTCTTCAACTACCACGACACGAGGATCCACGTCTGCCTCTACTTCATCACCCCCACGGGGCACTCGCTCAAGTCCTTGGACCTGGTGACTATGAAGAAGCTGGATAGCAAGGTAAGGGCTTGGAGACCGTGGTCCCTCTTTCTGGAAGCTGTGATGCTTCTGTTAACGTTGGTTGTCATGTGGGAGGTTTCGTGCCTTCTGGTGAGTGCTGGGCTCCTTCCTGCCTGTCAGCTCAGCTGGTTTTAGGGCTCTGGGAAAACTGGCTGCTAAAAAACTCTAAAACCCAGCCTGATGGGTTGCTGAGGTCCTGTGCTTTTTATTCTCACAATCTCTCTTGAAAAATACCAGGTGAAAAACCTGTTTCTAATCTAGCTGTGTGAAGTCTAGAGTGTCCATCACTAAGAATCTTACCCAGATGAGTTCATACTTATCGAGGCCATCAGCTTTGTCTCTGTCAGCTGCTCTTTGCAGAAGCACAAGTAGGGATGCATTCCAGCTCCTGCAGTTGATCTCTGGAACCTGCAGAGCCACCTGGCCTGTTAGCAGGGACAGAGGGGCTGAGAGCAACCAGAACTGGAGGCATCCCAGGGTGGTGGTCAGTATGGAGGAGACAAGGGCTGAAGAGAAGTGCTGGCTGTGCTTGGTGCTGCACAGAGAGTGTGTGAGCACTGTGAGCAGTCACTGCTGGTGGGGCCAGATGATCTGCACAGGAGGTCACACTGTCTTCTGAAAATGTAAATATAGTGAGAAGCTCTCAAGGTCACAGGAATCTTAGAAGTGGGTTGTGAGAGGGTCTGACTGGGGGTTGCTTCTTCATGCAGGAGCTGCTGCAGCCCCAGGAGGCAGTGGGTTACTGCAGCTGCTGCTGTTGGCTTTTCCTGCAGCTCTGACACACTTCTGGTTGTTGCAGGGAGCTGCAGGAGGCTTCAAAGGTCACTAGCGACTGCAGCATCTCTTCTTCGTGAGACTTTCCTCTCTTTCTGAGCAGTGTTGTAGCAGCAGGATGGTTCCTCTCAGGTGGCAGGTGCTGCTCAGCCTGGGGAGGGCAGGCAGGACTCTGCAGTAGCTGGGGATCCTCCCTGGCTGTTGGCCACATGCAGCTCTATCAGACTTTCCTGTTGGGAAGGGCTCCTCCTGGCAGGCTCCCTGCTGCTTGCCCTGGCCCCCCGGGGCTGCTGAGCTGCTTTTCCTCGGCCCTGCTCCAGAGGTGGTGCTGGCTCCCCGTGGCACTGGGCTGCTTGTCACTGGGGGGGCAGTTGCAGTGACTTCAGCAAGATACTTTCCGTTCTGCTCCTGCCTCCTGGCGCGGTGCCGACATGACGTGTTCCCACAAATATGCTTGGAGGAAAGTTTTTGCACGATTCCCCTTGCTGCTGGTGGTCTCAAAAAGCTTTTCCTTTCCTTTCCTTCTGCATTCCCTACTTTTCACATCTCCCCGTGGCTGCCTTTCATGTGGCCCTTGTGTAGCACCAAAATAAATCCTTTGTGCTTGTGCAGAGATGAGAACTTTTGTGGGCACCCAAGCTTTTTAGATTTCCAAACTTCCCCTTAACTAGTCCTCTCTGAAGGCATTTTACCCCTTTGCTCTCATATCTCTTCTTACCACAGCATGGGAACGTGTTGGATTCCATGGGCTGGTTGCCTCACACAAGGATGCAAAAGAAAATGGATAAGCAAGTAGAGACTGTTGATGTTTTCTGAGCGCCGTGGGTTTGTGTTGCCCTTCTGCATCAGTGTTTCCAGATGTGTGTGTGACAGTGCTGTGCCCCTTCCCAGCACACAGGAACCTTTGTGCTCAGCTCTGCAGCCATGTGGGCACACCTGACCCTGGCTTTCCTCTGGGGAAGCTCTACAGGGCTGGTGGTCCCTGTTCTGCAGTTGGGGAGTGGAGCCCATGGAGGGGAAGGGTGGATCAGAGGTGACACTTTGCTCCATTCTGTGCTGGCCTCTGGGAATAGTTTAACAAGGGTTTGTAGGAACCTGGCCCAATTCCACCTCGGCTTGGTCACACCCTTGGGGTGGCACCAGGTGTTGGGCAGGTGTCTGAACCTGGGTGAGGATTTCAGTGATGAATCTGGCTTTTACTGTGGAGCTTAGAAAACCCCTGCTGGGCAGAGCTGTTTGGTGAACAGAATCCTCTATTGTGCTGCAACACAGGATTTGTTTGGCTGAGCTCATGGGCAGCTGTTGTCGAGGGTATTTAGTTACAGCCAGAGCTAAAAGCATCTCCAGAGCTGGCTGTAGGTAGATGAGATGTGGCTGCCTGGTTGGGGAGTGGAAAGAAACCGTGTTTGACCTGGAAGGTGTTAGCTTTCTTTCAGTTTTAACCTGGGAGCAGGAGGACATAGATAAATAACCTGAAAAAGGTAGATTGAATTGCAGCTGTACTGGGTGAACAGATGATTTATTGCTTTACCCCACAGCCCTGCCCTGGAAGTGTTGGCACAGCAGTGGGATGCTGTGGGCATCCAGGGGCTCCCTGCTTCCCAGCCCTGGTGTGGGGGAAAGTGTGGAAAAAACCACTGAGCCACAAAGAGAACGTGAGCTGGGAAAGCAAGGTCAGTTATTTGCATGGGCACCCATTGGAGACCACGTGGCTGCTCCTGAAGACAAAGTGTTGGCTGTTGGGACACGTTAGATGGCAAATCAGGCTCTCCCCTCCTTTGAATTCTTCTGTTTTCCTGCTCGGGATCTGGCTGCTGTTCAGACAGTTCTGTTGCTGTGTGTTCAAGCAGTGGTGTGCAAGGTTGCACTTGGCTCTTCTGGGCAGAGCAGCATTGGTTAGCGCCGGGCTCATGGTTGGACTTGATCTTGAAGGTCCTAGCTGCAACACAGGATTTGTTTGGCTGAGCTCATGGGCAGCTGTTGTCGAGGGTATTTAGTTACAGCCAGAGCTAAAAGCATCTCCAGAGCTGGCTGTAGGTAGATGAGATGTGGCTGCCTGGTTGGGGAGTGGAAAGAAACCGTGTTTGACCTGGAAGGTGTTAGCTTTCTTTCAGTTTTAACCTGGGAGCAGGAGGACATAGATAAATAACCTGAAAAAGGTAGATTGAATTGCAGCTGTACTGGGTGAACAGATGATTTATTGCTTTACCCCACAGCCCTGCCCTGGAAGTGTTGGCACAGCAGTGGGATGCTGTGGGCATCCAGGGGCTCCCTGCTTCCCAGCCCTGGTGTGGGGGAAAGTGTGGAAAAAACCACTGAGCCACAAAGAGAACGTGAGCTGGGAAAGCAAGGTCAGTTATTTGCATGGGCACCCATTGGAGACCACGTGGCTGCTCCTGAAGACAAAGTGTTGGCTGTTGGGACACGTTAGATGGCAAATCAGGCTCTCCCCTCCTTTGAATTCTTCTGTTTTCCTGCTCGGGATCTGGCTGCTGTTCAGACAGTTCTGTTGCTGTGTGTTCAAGCAGTGGTGTGCAAGGTTGCACTTGGCTCTTCTGGGCAGAGCAGCATTGGTTAGCACCGGGCTCATGGTTGGACTTGATCTTGAAGGTCCTTTCCAGTCAAAACTGTGACTCTGTGATTATCTACTAGAGGTTCCTGGGACAGATCCTGCCCTGCTGTAGCTCTCCTGAGCATGGGGTCATAGCAAACCACATCCCTTCTGGAGGATGTGGGATGTGGCTCTTGTTTGCTCTTGATCTTTGTAGGGCCTGGGCACCTCCCCACCCTGGCTGTGGCACCTGGCTTGGTGGAGCTGTGCAGGGTGATGCAGGGTGTGAAGCCACTGCTGGGAACGCCAGCAGGAAGACACATCTCCTGCCTGCTGTGGGAGAGCTCCCGGCGTGCTGGAGCTGTGCTGGAGCTGTGCTGGAGCTCTCACCCTCAGGGAGAGGTTCAGGGAGGATTTGCAGCTGTGAGAGTGTCTGAGGAGTCCTGGCTCTTCCCTCCCCGGAGTGGAAAGCCTTCCCATCAGCTCCCTGCAGCCTTTCACCCTTGGCTTGTCCTCTGGAGAGGCTCAGCACTGCCCGACGGGACAGGTGACAGCCCGGGATGTGACAGTGAGGGTGAATTCAGCCTCCCCCAGCCCCGAGCCTGCAGCAGAGGCTTTGATCTGCTCCTTGTGTGTTTGCTGCAGGGGGTTGGTTTATCTGCGAATGTCCCTGCTAAATGAGTCCTGGAAAACTCTTCCCTCTAGTGTTCAGCTGGGCTTGTGCCGCAGCAGAACAGATGCTTGGTGGTTTGATGGGATGGAAAACATCTACCAGGGTAGGACTGGCTCAGCCCACAGGCTCCCAGCAGGACTGGCTGCCCCCCTGCTGCTCACCTGGCTCTTTTCCCTCCCTCCCTTCCTGCTTCCTCAGGTGAACATCATCCCCATCATTGCCAAAGCAGACACCATCTCCAAGAGTGAGCTGCACAAGTTCAAGATCAAGATCATGAGCGAGCTGGTCAGCAATGGGGTGCAGATCTACCAGTTCCCCACAGATGATGAAGCAGTTGCTGAGATCAACTCGGTGATGAACGTGAGTGATGCTGCTGGTGGCACTGCCACCAAAAGCCTGACAACTGACCCTGCTGCCCAGAAACACACTGGAGGGCACGTGCCACTGGGAATGTCCAGACCTTCCATCCCTCTGCAAGCTGAGCTGTGGAGCTGAAGGGCACCCCAGGCTGTTCCATACTGAGTTACTGGAAATGTGGCTCTTGCTGAACCTGTGGGCTCTCTGGAGGAGCTCAGCTCAGCTCAAACCTGTTTTGTTGAATTTTTTGAGAAAATGTTTTCTCCAAAGTTCATCCTGCCTGCTTTCAGGCTGCTTTTCAGTTGAGAAGGGAGAAGCTTTGAATAAAAACCTTTGCAGTTAAGATTTACATTGGCCTTCTGACTTAGAGAGGCTAAAAGGAGAAAACCCAATTTAAAGAAGAAAAATGGTTAGACTATTTTTTAAGTCTTTTTTGAAATTCAAAGATCAACTCCAGGCCTGGCTGAAGGATGTGCAAAACACTCCCTGGTTTTGTGTCCTATATGAGAGTGTAGCAGCACAAACAGCTGAAAAGTTTCCATGTATAATTTTAACAACAAAACCTAGCTTTTTCATCAAAACAAACACTTCCTGCCAAGCTGTTTCTGATTAAATGCTTTGTCTCTTCTTTCACCTTTTTTTTCTTCTTTTTTTTTAAAAAAAAGCCACCTTTCCATAGCAAATTGATTTCTGGGTCAACCTGATATGTATTTTCACAGCAATAGTGTGTTTTGCAGAATTCATGAAAAACGTGGAGGATACACTCTTTTCAAAGTGATCACAAGCTCTGTGCATTTGGGAGGCAAACAGGAGCCACACTGGCTTGGGTTTTCTTTTCCTTTTCACCCAATGAAAGGATTGTTGGCTGCTTCTCTACCACTTCCACACTTTGGGATCCATTTCCTCCCAAATGTGAAGGGTTTTTATCAACCTTGTCCTTCTGAAGTGCAGTGCTGGAGGGTGGTGCCCTGTTCCCTCCCTGCCCTTGGTGCTTGGCAGCCTTGGGGAGCAGTGAGCACGTTGGATCCATCCTGCACGTGTCAGATCCGTCCTCCACGTGTCCCTCCCAGTGCCCACACACAAACCACGGTGCCAAGGCTTGGTGGTGGATGTCTCTGCTTGTGCTTTCAGCAAAGTGGGGAGTGCCCTGCTCTTGGCGTGGGGAGAAGCTGCAAGAACAGCCTGGCAAGTGGGCAGAGGGAGCTCAGTAATGATCCTGGTGTTCCTACAATATTTCCCCATCCAGCCCAGTCTAGCCAGTGTTGCTAGTGAGCTGTGCTACAGCCCTGCACTGCTCTGCTGGAATGTCTCAGGGGAAGAAAAGGGTCCACGGACACCTTAGAGCTCCTTAGGGGCTACAGGGAAGCTGGGGAGGGACTTTTTACAATAGCAGGATGTGATGGGATGAGGGGCAATGGCTTGAAATTGGAAAAGGGGAGATTAAGATTAGACATTAGGAGGACATTCTTTGCTGTGAGGGTGGTGAGAGCCTGGCCCAGGTTGCCCAGGGAAGCTGTGGCTGCCCCATCCCTGGGGGTGTTGAAGGGCAGGTTGGATGGGGCTTGGAGCAGCCTGGGCTGGGGGGAGGTGTCCCTGCCCATGCAGGGGGTGGAACTAGATGATCTTGAAGGTCCCTTCCAATTCAAACCAGTTTGTGATTCATGGCAGAGACTGCTCTGAGGATCAGAGTCAGTAGCTTCAGAGGAAGAACGTTTTGAAGCAGGTCCTGTGCCTGGTTGAGGGAGATCTCATGGTCAGGGTGATCTCTGAGGGTCAGCACATGCCCTGAGTCCCTGGCCTTGGCTCTGTTTCAGGCTCATCTGCCCTTTGCAGTGGTGGGCAGCACGGAGGAGGTGAAGGTTGGGAACAAGCTGGTGAGAGCCCGGCAGTACCCCTGGGGAGTGGTGCAAGGTAAGGAACTGCGGGTGGGCACCCTCCTGCACCTCCCCTGCACATGCTGGCACCCTCCCTAGCCCTGCCTTCCCACCAGCACGGGTGTGTGAGGGTGTCCTGTGAACAGACACTGCAGAAATCTCCTGTGAGCCTTCTGTGGGTGGGCCAGCCTTTCCCTGGAGCTCCCATTCCTGCCAGCTGGTCGTACTGGTCAGCAGGGATCCCTGCATCCGCGGGATGTAGACGCCCACCTGTAGGCAACAGGTTGAGCTCCTTGGGAGAGGAATCCCTGGAGCTATCTCTGTGTGCCTTGGTGCCCCCCCCGGGTGCAGGCTGCTGACGGGTGCCTTTGTGTCCCTCAGTTGAGAATGAAAGTCACTGCGACTTCGTGAAGCTGCGGGAGATGCTGATCCGAGTCAACATGGAGGACCTGCGGGAGCAGACCCACACCCGCCACTACGAGCTCTACAGGAGGTGCAAGCTGGAAGAGATGGGCTTCAAGGACACAGACCCAGACAGCCAGCCCTTCAGGTGGGTGCCCTTCATGTCTAGCATCAATTGGGGGCGATAGTTGGGAACTGACACCCCCAAAAATCGGGAGGTTTGTAGGTGGCATCCACAGTGCTGGGCTGGGAAGGACTAGCACTGAGTTTGGACTTGGCATCTGGGTTTGAACTCTGCAGCTGACTTTGGCCTTCCCTTCCCTGCCTGTTTGACCTTAAATATCCCCATGCCTAACTTGCTGCTGTCCAAAGACTCGATTTCGTTTGCTTTCTTCCCCAGTCTCCAAGAAACATACGAGACCAAAAGGAAAGAGTTCTTGAGCGAGCTCCAGAGGAAAGAGGAAGAAATGAGACAAATGTTTGTTAACAAAGTCAAGGAGACGGAGGCAGAGCTGAAGGAGAAGGAGAGAGAGGTGGGTGTGCCAAAAACCTGGAGGAGGCTGGGTGCTGTAGGAATCCAGGGAAGCATGTGCAGCTCCTGAGCAGACCTCACCAGCCACAGCATGAACACACACACACCTTCCCCCACCCAGAAGAGGGGACATGGGGTAGTGTTTCCAAAGCAGCATCGCTGGTTTAGGTGCCTCAGAAACTGGTTTGGATTGGAAGGGACCTTAAGGATCATCCAGTCCCAGCCCCCTGCACAGGCAGGGACACCTCCCAGCAGCTCCATGTCTGTTGGGTGGGGGGATTCCCATGGGAGGGAATTGGGATGAGCCTCAGGGTTGTGCTGGATGTGGTGCTCAGGGGGCTTGTCTCCTACCAGCTGCACGAGAAATTTGAGCACTTAAAAAGGATACACCAGGAAGAGAAAAGGAAGGTGGAGGAGAAGAGGAAGGAGCTGGAGGAGGAGATGAACGCCTTCAACAGGCGGAAAGTCGCGGTGGAAACCTTGCAGTCCCACTCCTTGCAGGCTACCTCACAGCAGCCCCTGAAGAAGGACAAAGACAGGAAAAAGTAAGTGACTGACCTTGAGTCTCTCCCCTCTGCTGCTGGGAAGCTGGGTGTCTGCTCAGGTGCTCTGGTCTTTGGGCAATTTCTTAGACAGCAAATGGCAAAGGGGATTCTGGAATCCTCATTCGTGCCCTTCTGACTCTTTGTGGAAAGCAAGGAGGGACAGGGCTCTGCTGTGCCTGGGCACTGCCCTGGGGAGCCCTGATGGCCACGGGTGGGAGGGGTTTGCCATTTGGGGCCAGTCTGTGAAGGCTGTGAGTCCCATGGGGTTTGCCCTTGGCCCTGTGGCAGCTGGCTCGGGCCATCCTGGGGACAGGTGGGAAGGGACTGGAAGTCAACTGCATCTTCTCAGCAGAGAGGAGCAGGGACAGACTTGGCACAGTTGTCATGTCCTACAGGTGAGGTCTCCTGTCAGGTCCCACCTCCCTGATCTGCAGGCTTGGGGCCCTCTTTGGAGAGTGCTCTGGCTTTGTTTCCAGAGGCAGAGCTGGAAAGAAGGAAGCAGCAGCAAAGGTAGAGTGGAAGCTCATTGGTGTGAAACGGGGCTCCAAGACACTTCTGCTTCACAAGAGCTCTGTTCCCCTAAAGCTCTTATCTGAGCTTGCTGCCAGGGAATTTCTCTTGCTGAAGCCAGCAGGAGTGTGGAGTGAGGGCACGTCAGTCCTGCTCTTCCAGCTGCCTGTGTGTGCAGGGAGAGAGCAGGAAT